TCCCACTATCGATCTCACAATCGATCTGACATTCGGTCTCACTATCGATCTCACTATCAGAATCACAATCGATCTCACAATCAACGTCATTATCATCATCAACAACATCACCGTCATCAACATCATCATCATCATCGTCATCGGGGCACCATCATCGTCAGCATCACCACCTCATCACCACCATCAACAGCATCATCACTATCATCATCATCGGGACACCATGATCGTCACCATCGCCACCATCAACATCATCATCATCGGGACACCATCATCATCACCATCATCATCATCATCATCATCATCATCGGAACACCACCATCATGATCATCATCATACCATCATCATCATCATGACCAGCATCATCAACATTTTCATCATAGGGACACTATGATCATCAGCAACACCATCATCAGCAACATCATCATCATTGTGACACCACCAACATCGTCACCATCATCATCACCATCACAATCACAATCCTCATCATCATCATCACAACCATCATCATCATCGGGACACCAACATCATCAACATCAGCATCATCATCCCAATCATCGGGCCACCATCATTTAAATCACCATCATCACCCCATCATCATCCTCATCATCCTCATCATCCTCATCGGGACAATCATCGTCATCATCATCATCAACATCATCATCATCATCAACATCATCGGGACACCATCATCACCATGACTACCATCATCAACAGCACCATCATCAACCTCATCACCATCACCATCACCATCACCATCACCATCATCATCAGCATCATCATCATCATCATCATCGGGACACCATCATCATCATCTTCATCAACATCACCATGATCATCGCATCATCATCTCATCATCATCTCATCATCATCAACATCATCAGGATCATCAACATCATCATCATCATCATCATCATCATCATCATCATCGGGACACCATCATCATCATCATCATCAGCAAAACCATCATCATCAACATCATCACCTGGACACCATCATCATCACAACCATCACCATTTTCATCATCATCATCATCATCAACATCGTCAACATCATCATCATCAGCAGCATCATCATCATCATCATCATCGGGACACCATCATCATCACCACCATAACCATTACCATTACCATCATCATCACCATCACCATCACCATCACCATCATCATCAGCATCAGCATCAGCATCAGCATCAGCATCAGCATCAGCATCAGCATCAGCATCAGCATCAGCATCAGCATCGGCATCGGCATCGGCATCAGCATCAGCATCAGCATCAGCATCAGCATCAGCATCAGCATCATCATCATCATCATCATCATCATCATCATCATCATCATCATCATTGGGACACCGACTGGACACCGGCGGGACACTGGCGGGACACCGCGGGCCACCGGCCCCCGGAAAAGAATCATTTGGTCCAGCCGCGCCTCAGCCGGAGGCGGGACATCGAGAGAGCTCCTTGAGAGCGCACGGCATGCTCCAGGAAAGGAGGAGGAGGAGGAAGAGGAAGAGGAGGAGGAGGAGGAGGAGGAGGAGGAGGAGGAGGAAGCGGGCTTGCAACTGCATGGCTGCCTCGCGCAGAGTTCACGGGGGCAGCATTCGCTGCCGAACCAGGCGGCCCCAGAAGGAGAAGAGGAGGACGAGATTCAATATGTCCCTCAAAACGGTGATCAGAACTTTCGTGCCAGTCCAAGAATCAGTTTGGAGAAGAACCGCCTCCGCATGAGGATGAATGAACTTGATCCGAGCCTCATCATACGCAGCGGCCGCGACGGGACCGTCAACTGGTCACTCGGAGGACGCTATCAAGTCGTGGCCTCATTAAGTCTATAAACCGATCACGCCTTGCACACCCTTTCAATTCTAGGGAAAAAGGCTTTCTTTGGAGGGAAGCGGGCTTGCAACGGCATGGCTGCCTCGCGCAGAGTTCACGGGGGCAGCATTCGCTGTCGAACCAGGCGGCCGAAGAGGAGGAGGAGGAGGAGGAGGAGGAGGGGGGCGGAGGAGGGAGGGAGGTGTGATTGGGGAGGTGAGTGTGAGGGGGAGAGATGAGAGGCGGGAGTGGTGATTATGATTTATTATGCTGATTCTGGCATGATGAGGAGGAATACCTATTGTTCCGAATATCAGTAGGATGGGATGAGGTAGAGCCAGAAGAGTAGGATGAGGAGGAGGAGGAGGAGGAGAGGAAGCGGCGCGTGCAAACGGTGCGCGGCACGGATGGATTGAAGAATCGAGGCGGGCCATGGCGTCCAGCCACGCGCGCGCGCTGGCCTCGCCCGTCAGGCGCCCACGGCTCCCGCCGCGAGGTGCAATGTGGGTGCGGTATTGCGCGTGTCGTGCTGACGCGTTGACTCTGACGGGGGGGGGTATTTTGGGGCTTCCTGGTGGATCACATCACATACGCAGCAGTCTTGTGTGTGTGTGGGGGGGGGCAGGTGTCTTTGGCCCGAGGGGGAAATCCAAGATCTGCACGCAGAGCGCAGCACTGATGGGTCAAAGGTACCGGCGATGGTTCCAGCCACACAAGGTCGCCACTGACAGCCACTGCTGCTGCGCAGAGGATGCGCAGTGCCTGGTAAAGAATGCCCTGAAAAAGAATGCACGCGCTGCCACGCCAGCTGGCGGAGCACGTGCAGAAGGAGCCAGCGTCGCTCTTACAGAAGCGAACACGGGCGCGCGCGAGCCGCACCGCCACCTCGGCTAGAGCAGGCCCGACGCAGAGCGCCGAGCCTCCCCTATACAAGGTGGCGGCCGCGGCTCACGTCCAGCGAGGACCTCGTCCCTGAACCGAGCCAGACTCGCAGAAGCCTCACCCGCACACGGGGCGAGCAGCTTTCGCCAAGTCAGGGCTTCAATCTCGCAGTGCGCCGCGCATCGGCGGCAGGCAAGGTAGCGGCCAGCTGGCTGCACCATGTGCACTTTGAACTTGACGCGAGCAAAATGAACGACGCGATTTCTATAGAGGACCACCAGGAAGCTGCCTACGCATGAGCTTTCAAAAGCTCGCACTGACATCCGAACGCTTCGAAAGTAGCTAGGCAGCATTTCGTTCCTCGCCTCTGAGGCCCGTGCTCAGGCCGCTGTCAGGATCTTTCTGCCCCGCACCTTTGCCTGTCGATGAGGGAGGTGGCAGAAGTTGCACTCGCTGCCCCGCAGGCACTTGCCCCTGAATTGCAGGTGGCAAGGCCGGCACCTGCCCTCGTCGTGTACGACTCTGTCAACGCTGGGACAGTCCTGGGCCACTTCCTCGCTCTCCGCGGCGGGTGCCCGTCGAACCACGACCTCCGCCTGGCCGTCGGGACCGACGAGGGCCTGATTCGCCTCGGAGCCCTCGCCGCGGGGCGGGATGGCGCCCTCCAGCGGCTGCATGCTTGAGGACGAGGCCGAGCTGCACCAATCCACCGCCTCCGCGCGCTGCTCGCTGTGGCTCCAGGAGCGCGCGCGCGCCCGCGGCTCCGAGACCGCGAGCGGCTTGCTGGGGACCCCGTTGGGGCTGACGTGCACGAAGGTGTTCTTCACCTGATCCTGGAGCCGCCTCATCCCGGTCATGTTCGTCGAGCCCACCGCCATGCTGGCCACATTCGTCCCCGTGCCCCCGGCCATGACCAGGATGGAATACCTGTCGGGCTGGTGGACGCTCACCGAGACGCGCTCGCGCAGCTCGCCCTTGGCCTGGTTGCGCTTGACGCTGCACACCGCGACCGGCATCGTGGCAACCCTGTGGACCATAATGTAGTCTCTGAACGGCTCGAGGGCCGCCGCCGGCAACGGCGTGTCCTTCAGGCGAAGCCAGTTGCGCTCGACGGCCTGCACGGGGTGGTCCGCGGTCATGGTGAGCGCAGTCCCGTCTGCGAGGGACACCTCCACCCAGTCGACGGCCTCGGAGCCGGCATGCGCCTCGGAGACCTTGGCGTACTTCACCGTGCCCCCCAGGGAGTCGAAGCAGAGCACCAACTGGCCGGGAACAAGCCGCCCCACTGGCACGGGCTCCGCCTCCCCGCTCACCCACACCGTGGCGGAGGGCGGGAAGTAGTCCACGCCGTCCTCGGGGCACCCGTCGTCCTGGAGCGCGGCCGCGTCCGCGCAGACCGTCGGGGCGGACGGGAGCATGGCCGCGGGCGCGCTCTTGACCGACGGGTTGAGCGAGGAGCGGGCGCTCTTCCGCGAGGAGGGCGCGCGAGGCCCATCGCGCAGCGGGTTCAGGCGCTGCGAGAAGTGGGACAGGCTGTCGACGATGCTGCCGGTGGTGGGGGGGGCCTGAGAAGCCTGCCGCAGGGACTCGAACTGAAACTCGGCCTGGCAGCGCAGCACCTTCTGCCTGACGACGTCTTCCTTCGACTCGACCAGGTGCTCGAAAAACTGTCGCGACGACCTCTCCGCGCGAAACTTCGCTGCGACCTGGATCACCATGCCGACCGCGAAGAAACGAAATAAAAAAAAGAAAGGAAAAAAAAACAAAAAAAAAAAAAAAAAAAAAAAACAAAAAAAAAGAAAAAAAAAGAAAAAAAAAAAAAAAAAAAAAAACAAGAGAAGATAAACAAACAAATAAAAAAAACAAAAAAAAAAAAAAAACAACATAACACAAAAAACAAAAAAAAAAAAAAAACCAAAAAAACAAAACAAAAAAAAAAAAAAAAATATAAAACATAAAAAAGAAAAAATAAGAGCCGACCGCGAAGAGGAATATCTCCGCGCACTCCCTCTGCGCGTCCTGGGGCTGGCCCCACGACTCGTTGACGGAGCGGGCCGCGAGGAGCAAGCCAGCGAAGGCCGAGGTCCCAAGCAGCAGGGCCAGCATCGCCTGCCGAGCGAGCAGCACGAAGTGCGTCATGTAGGACAGCCACACGTACAGCAGGAAGGCATGCAAGAGGCTGTACCAGCCAAGCATCCACTCGGACTCCTGGACCACCGTGTCGCGTCGGGGGACGCCGAATGGCTTGTAAAGCTCTTTCCAGAACGCGGTCTGCACTTCCACGTGAGTGAACGTCGAGACGATGCAGTCGAAAAAGATGGTGAACACTGGTAACCAAAAGCTCTGGCGCATCTTCGCGCGCGCAGCCAGGGCCACCGAACGCACCAGGCACGAGGCTAGGGTAGCAACCAACGGGAGCTTGTTGACGTGCAACAGGGTGGTCTCGTTCGCGATCAACAGAACTATCGCAGATATGGCCGCTACGGCGACAAAAGCGACCTCGTGGCGCGCTCTCTCAGACCATGTCGCTGAATTGAAGTCCGTGGTCGCGACAGCGTGTGTCGCCGCCATGGTATGCCGAGGGAGCAAGGAGCAGCGAGTGTAACTGCAGCCTCGAGCCAAAATGGCTCCGGTGGCGTGCTGGCCTTTTTGGCTTGCCGGCGCTCCAAGACGGCCCAAGAAGCTCCCAAGACCACCCCAAAACGGCCCACAAGGCTTCCAAGAGGGCCCCACAAGGCTTCCAAGAGGGCCCCAAAAGGCTTCCAAGAGGGCCCCAAGACAGCCTCAGAGCGGCCCGAACCGGCCCAAGAGGCGCCCAAGACGGCCCAAGAGAGCCCCAAGACGGCCCCAAAAGGGGCCCAAGAGAGGGAACACGAACCGAAAATCCGAGCCTTTCGCCCAAGAGGCGCCCAGGAAGCCCCAAGAGGCCCCCAAGAGACCCCGAAGAGGCCTCCAAGAGACCCAAAAGAGGCCCCAAGAGGCCCCCAACCGGCCCCCAAGAGGCCGCCAAACGACCTCCAAGAGGCCCCCAATGAGGCCTCCCACGAGATCCCAACAAACATCCAATAGGTTGCATAACCCACAACCCAGGCACGGTGGCGAGATGGGCCGAAGGCTATTCGATAGATGGAGGACGGTGCCTTTTCACAATGTGGCTCTCGATCGAGACCAGCTCCAAAACTACGACCAAACGTGTAAACGTGTCCAACAGCTACACACATGGGGAGGCCATCTGTTCAAAACGGGGATCTCTCTGGACACCTCGCTAAACTGTATGATCATACATGTGAGCATCCCTTATGATCCGCTAGACGGATACGAAGTAGGTTCTTTGCACAACAAAATAGAGCATCGTCTGAATGACAAACCCACGTGGTCCTGGTACTTCAGGTGGGCGCTTTTCGCGTGAAATAATAAAACATATTGCAATGACGTGTGGCGAACAGACGTGGTACGGGAAGGTGCGTTGCAGCATCGTTGATGCATATTGGGCTTACTACGGTCCTCCTCCTCCTCCTCCTCGTCCCTCCTGGCTCCTCATCCCTTCCCCCTCTTCTTTCTATATTTCGGGTGGCCTAGATCAGGTCACCGTTGGCCAATATCTTATACTGTATGTGAATCATCAACCTTGTCCTCTTCCTCCTCCAACCCTCTCTCCCTCCTCCTTGTCCTTCTCCTCCGCCGTCGTCCCTCCCTCCCTCCTCCCCCATCCTCGCCCATCTCCCCTTCCCGCCTCCTCCAAATCATCATCCCTCCACCGCAATATCCTCTTCCTCCCTCTACATCATACCATCCATCCTCCTCGTCGGGCGGTGTTCCTCTGATTCCCCCCAGTCCTTAGTATCACCATGTTCTCGCCCTCCGTCTTCCTGCTGCTCCTCCCCCCCATCGCCCCCTTCGTCGTTCCTCCTCCCCCTCCTCCCCCTCCTCCTCCTCCTCCTCCTCCTCCTCCTCCTCTGTCCCTTCATTATTTTCCTCCTCCTCCTCCTCCTTCCCTCTTCTCCTCCTTCGCTCCACCCCTTTGGCAACGGAGCGAAGAACTGGCGGGGGATGTGGCGGGGCCAGAGCGGCCAGGGAGGACTGACTGACTGGCTGGCTGACTGACTGTCTGACTGACGCGCACATCGGCCCCGAGGCCGTCCCGAGGCGGGGCGTGCGGCAGAGCCTCGGCTCCATCCAGCTGGCCTTCTCTCACGCGTCTTCTCACAGCTCACTCTCGCAAAGTACATCGTGCGGTTCGTGTGCGCATAACGTCGCACCATCTCGGCCGAGCCCGTTCCGCGCGCCGTGTTATTCCGACGGGCTTCCACAAGAATGCACGGCACGGCCAAGAAGATGTCTCGTCTCGCATCCGTTGAAGCCACTTTGCAGCGGCATCCTGCTGCCCTTGAACACAATCGCGAACGTGTAGCTGACAGCATAAGTATGTCTTCAACCTTACGCGCCGTTCTCTGAAGCCATTCATTTCACGTTTCTCGAATATGTTCGTAACTCTCTGAAGAAGTGCGCTGACCAAAAAGAGGTGTTTACTAAATGCACGCTCGCGGCTCTTCGACGCCATCGTGCCCAATGTACTTTATATGGTGGTGCACCTGACAGAAAGGATACGCCGCGCACAGCGGAACCTGCTGCGAATGATCGTAGGCAACTGTCGTCGAGAGTTGATTGAGGAGGCCAGGGAGAGCGGAAAGAAAAATATACCACGGGATCGCAGCGAGAGGCTGCTCGGGCGCGGCCCTCGTGCCAGATCCCCCCAACGCTCGTGGGCTGCCCGAGGGCACTCGGCTGCGCCGTCTGTCTGGGAGGATGACGTGGAGGAGTTGGAGAAGAAGGAAGCAGCTTGAAGGGACACTGAGCATCAGAGGTTGGTTCCCGAGGTCGCTGGAGGAAGCATAAGAAAAGGAGGAGGGAGGAGCACGAGGGTGAGGCGGGAGTAAGAGGTGCAGAGACAACTCTCTGGGGAAGCTTCTCTGGGGCCTCGTTGAGGCAGTTGTGAAGCCTCTTGGGAGCCGTTTGGGAGTTTGGCCTCTCGGGAGCCTCTTGTGGCCTCTTGGGGGCCTTTTGGGAGCCCCTTGAGGCCTCTCGGGGCCCCCTGTGCGAGTCGTCGGGGGAAATTGCGCAGCGGTATGAATCTCTGATCTTTTGTCTGAACTCCTCAAGTTCGGGCCCTGCTCACAGGGCGTCTAAACTCCCGTGCCTCTGAGCACAAGCGAGGGGGCGCTAGAGCCGAGACGGTAGCAGGCAAAATACACATGTCAAACTACACATTCAATCACAAACTAAATCCAAGCAACAATATGGAATATGGAAACAAATATGAAACATCTGCTACCCTGCTGGGCTCACTCACTCATGCTCAGGCTTGCTCAAACTCGGAATTGCACGGATAAGGGTCCTCCAAGCTGAGCATCCTTGAGTCCGTCTCCTCGTCTGAACTGTACTCGGTCATGGCCTCATATGATGGGAAGTCTGGGCACGCAGCTGCACCGATGTGAGCCATTGTCCCGCCTGGCGTTTTGAGGATGCCCGCTCCCACGTGCTCGAACGGCTGGATTCCAGCGGCCTTCCTCCTCCGTGCACTCTGGTACTTCTCGTCGTAGACTAGCTTCCAGCGATGCCCGTTGTTGAAATACATCCGCAGCTGGCCTGGCTCGTGTCCTTTCGTCAGCGAGTTGGCGAGTTGGGCATCTCCATGTACCCAGAGCATCCAGTTGTTCGCCGCCTGCGTCCCCTCCTTCAGGGTCATGGCCTCCACGTCGGTCCGCTTCTCCTTGCCCCGGAAGGTGTAGACCGTCGTCTGCAGCTTGTCGTACAGGCCTTTTGAATCCACAACCACTGCTCCTGGCAGTCTGCGTAGAATCCCCTCGGGGTTCCTCCAGTCGATGTTGTTGCCTAGGATCTCTAGCCACTGCAACTTGATGCCAAACAGCTCGTCCTCAGCATCCACGGCGGAGCGTGTCTCACATGCCACGGAACTGCGGCAACCACGATCGATCTTCCCGGACTTCCAGGATATGAGGCTCACGTCCGCCTCGTCTCCCCTGAGGATCTTCAAAGGTGCCAACCCCGCCACCAGGCCCTTCGTGGACTTTCCGTCGGGACGGTTGGCCTCGGAGGAGTCGGACCACTCCACGGGCACCAGCACCTGTGCCTGAGAGTGGCTGTGTATCACCACGGGTAGATCAGCACACTCACGGACACGATCGACCAGGCGGTTGGTCTCGTTGATGGTCTGCACGGTGGACGATGGTATGGTGCTGAGCAGAAGGCTCGTGTCGGCCGAGTGCATGGGGCCTGACTGCTCGGATCTCCACCCGATGGCCCCTAAGATAGCCCTCAGCTGGCCCTTCTCCTTGTCGGTGGTCGGCATGTCCTTGGCCTTCTTGCGCTCCGGGGTGAGGTGCGCCTTCTCGATGGTTTTCACATACTCACTCTGGTCCATGCGGAAGCTCCTGTCGGGCTGCTGCTTGATCCGCACCCCCGTCTGCATGAACTCCTCCGACTCCCAGGCTTTCCACTTGAAGCGCTTCTCGATCTGTTCCCGGGCGGTGATCCACCGGGGGTCCGTGTCGTTGCCACCGAGCAGGAAGTCGTCCACGTGCGATCCCGCAATGGCTATGATGTCCATGTCCCCCTTCGCCGCGATCAGGTCCCCGAGCACCTCTGGGTTCGTGAAGTCCTTCAGCGCCTCCTTGGTGAAGCCGTTATCCCTGCCGTGGCCGTCACCGTAGAGCACCCACACGCAAGGGTCCATCTTCATCTGGGTCCAGCCGAACTCCTCCAGTGCCTCGCTCACGGTCATGAACCACTCGATCGCTGCTTCCACGAGCCCGTAGACCGCCTTCCTGAGCCGCATTGCAACGCCCTCGGGCATCCCCAGCGCCGCCGCGAGCTCCTTCACAGGCATCACGAACAGGTCATGCTGTATCTCTCTGTTTTGCGTGAAAGCCCCCGTCACGTCCGCTTTGTAACCTTTGAAGCCCAACCACGCCATTGTCTGCAGCACCAGGTGCCTCGAAGTCCTCGTCATGGTTGGGGCGGTGGTCGGACGGTGCTCGTACTCGGGGTCCATATAACCCAGGACCACAATCCTCGCCTTCGGCTTCTTCGTGCCCGTGTTCTCGTCCACCTTCCACTCGAGGATCCACCTCATGCGCATGATGTCCTCGGGAGGGGGAGTCACGCCTGGTGGGAGCGTCTCCAGCACCGAAGACACAATGTAGTTGTTCACCTCCGTGGCCTTTGCCTGGCCGAACTTCGCCACCTCGTCCGGGGTCAACGTCCGTTCCGAGATCTCGCGTTTGCCCTTCCGCAGCTGGCTCGCCATGTAGGTACTCATGTGCCGCGTGGCCTGCTTGAGTGGCTTCCCCTCCAGGGGAACTTCAACGGAGACCTCCAGCGACGTGCCCTGACGAGCCCAAAAGGCCCGGGCATCTGGAGTGGACTTCGCCATGAGGGCCATGTTCTCCTTCATCTGCTCCTCCGCCAGGGCTGCTCGAGACGCTCGGACTTGGTCGGCTGTTCCTCCTGGATGGTATCCTTTCTTGAGTATCTTCTTCCGCACTGGTGGTGTCGAACGGCCCCTCGAGGCCTGGCTTCCTTCTGTGGCTTGTCCTGTGCGGGCCTTCTTCAGTGGAGGGGCTGGTTCAGGTAGTCCCTCCCAGGTCGAGACCTCCATGTCGTCCTCGGTGGGGTCGTGGCCCGTGAAGTCCAGGTATTCGTGCTTCATCGTCTGGTTCATGAAAGTGTGGACTGTCCAGGGCGTGTCTTTGCCTCCCATCAGCTCTGCGTAGGCGATCTCCCGTGAGGAGGCCGCCCGGATCTGGCAGAGGTCCACCTTGATGGTACGCCCGGCTCGCACGAGCCACACCACAGACCCTGCACGCCCAGGGTGTAGGGCCCTTCCTTCGCCAAGGTCCCCGTCCACTGGCCGCGCCGTCTCTGTGGCCAGGACCCTCGCGAGCCCTTTGAATCGGCCCTTGGCTTCACCCTTCTCTTTCCGGAAGTAGCGCACCCACATGCCTGGCGCCACGGACTTCACCGCCTGATTCTTCGCGTTCTCTGCCCTGCTGATGCGTCGCATGTAGACTTGCCTCAGGTACTCCTGCTCGGCAGCATACATCCTGGTGTAGTTTTCTCCGAACTCCTTGTCGACCCTCTGGGCCTCCACGTAGGGCAGTTCGTCGAAGTCGCTCTCAAAGAAGTGTCCGTCCAGGTCTGGTGCTCGCCCAAGGGCATGTTGGAGGGGTGAGTGTCCTCGAACATCTTCTCGTGAGTTCCCAGCAGCGGTCGCTCTGGCCAGGGCTTCCTCCGTCGTCATCTCGGGGTTCTCCGTCACCAACTTGTCCATGGTCCCCTTGGTGGCCTGGATGGCCTCCTCGGCGAGGGAGATGTGCCAATGGGCCTGGCCAGGTATGGGTTCGTACGCGATGGAGTCGGAATCAAAGTACGCAGCCGCCTGCTTGGACATCCAGGAGCCCTCGGGGTCCACCTTCACCCTCTGTGGCTTGCCGAAGTAGGGCATCCAGCGCTCCTCATAGAACTGCTTGAGGTCGGCCCACACGGGATTCCTGTGCCGGTCCTCGCCAACCATGTGGTACAACAGCTTGCTGACGCGCACCCGGCAGTTCTCGTCTATGATCAAGGAGATCTTGGACTTAACCTTCGTCTGCGGGTGCTCCCATTCAAATTGGTCCGCCTGGATGTGCTTCCACTTCGGCGGGATGGCTTCTAAGCTGACCGGCGGATGTGTGGGCTTGAACTTGTGCGCCTCTTCGCAAGCGTCACAGTGGAAGTCCTCAGCCACCTGTAGCACCTGTGGGCTGGCGCCCTTCCTCCGAAGTGCGTTCAGCAGGGAGGCCTTCGAGCTGTGGCCTGAGCCACGGTGGATGGAGGTGAGCCACCTCATGATCTGCTGGTACTCCTTCGAGCTCAAGTCTGAGTTCATCTTTGTCTCCTCTTGGTTGGCTGCCATCGCCTGGTCGGCCGCCTCCCCGGGCTCCGCCACGCACCTCATGAACTCGTGGTAGTCGGGCGCAGCCTCCTCGGTCATCGCGCGCACAGCTCGTCTGGCAAACTCGTCCGGGTAATAGCTGGTGGCCGCTGTCAGACTGCCTCCTGTGAGCTCCCCATGTCGGTGATCTCCTGGGCATTCCAGGGACATCCGGGCTGCCATCTTTGGAGACGTCGTAGCGATAAGCCACTCCTTCAACAGCGGCAGGCCCTTCCCGTCCTTCACGCCGAGCTGGTAGCCTGCCACCTTCACCACCGTCATGGAGCAGTCCTCCACCATCTTCCTGATCATTGTGTGGCCCCAGCCCTCGCACTTGATGGGCCACTCCCAGTGTACATGCTTGCCTTGAGCCACCTGGTCATACACCAGCTGCACCGCGCCCTTGTACTCCTTGATGGCCTGCAGCCTGCGCTTCCTGGTGGCCTCGGCCCTGATGGGGTTGGAGCCGTTGAAACCGAGGGTGAGGGTAGACAGGGGGCCGCACCTCGTACTGATCCACAGGTGGTCTGGTTCAGCCTCGTCACGTGCCTCCCGGGCCCTCTGGTTGCCACCAGGTGTCCCCAGCTTGAAACCGTTCCACGCACTGATGCGGCATACAGCGTCCTCGCCGAGCTTCTCCGCCACCTTAGTGCTCAGGATGGGCGTCGGGCTGCATGCGACCCCCATCAACTTGGTATTGCCGTGGGCCATCAGCGCCTCGTAGTCCTCAGAGTGGCCATTTTCCTGGATGCACTTGGCGAGCCAGCGCTGCTTCCTGGGGTCAAGCTCCTTCGTGCAGTTCAAACCTCTGCCAGACCACTCGGACTGGAACCCACTTGTACGAAGCTCCCGGCGTTGGAACTGGCTGAGCTCGCCTGGCCCTCCAGCTGGCCGAGCCTCTGGTTGAGCTGGTTCAGCGCCGTCAGCATCTGCTCCTGGACCAAACGGTTGGACTCCTTCTCCTCCTTCTGCATCTTGATCGCAGCCTCGAGCTTCTCCTGCTCCTCGATCTCGTCCTCCATGATCGCGTCGACCGTTCTCCTGCGGGATGACCTCGCGCCCCCTCGAGCCTTGTCCGGCTCTCTCGGGACCTCCTTCGGATCCCTGGTCACCCCGGCCTTCTTGTCGATGATCTCCTGCTCGTTGAGCCATGAGGCAAACCGGGCCAGCTCCCAGCTGCTCTCCTGGTTCGCCTCTTTCTGGCACCAGGCTGCGTAGGATGGGTACTGGCTCCGAACCTGCTGGTAGGTCATGGCCCCGTGCTTCCCGAAGCCCATGTAGTCGGTCGGCTCCGGGGTATGCTTCATGAGGATGGCCTTGCGGATCGAGAGCTTGAGTGATGGATTCGTCATGCCCTGTGTCACGTGGGCGCCTACCTCCTCTGCCTTCGCCAAGAGCTGGGACTTCTTCATCGAGCTGAGACCCTTCATGGCCATCTGCACTGGCGTCTCGTCCTTCGGAAACATGTGCTCCTTGAGGACCTGCTTCAGCTCGTCCACGCCCTAGGCCGGACTGCACGGTAGGCCAAGCTCCTGAAGTAAATGCAGCACCTCCGCTTTGTAGAGGCCCTGTACTGCACTGCGAGACGTTGGCATCTGGAGTGGTCGCACCGCACGAGCATGCGATCCTGGCGCAGGTGAGCTGGACCGCTCCGCGGACGATGTTACCCCAGCGCATCTCTTTGCTGACATCGACGGCCGTCGGCCTGGAATATGGAATATATGGAAAGACTGGTGGATCTGGAACTGCGGGTGGCTGGATGCCGTCGGTCGCTGTCGACTCGAGTGAACTTGCCTGGCTCGAGCCCGAACGGCTATGGTACTGCAGCGGGACCCCCTGGTTCACCTGGGACGCCCTGTCCAGCTGGAACTGAGACTGGACACTGGGACGGTCGCTGCCTTCAACTGTGGGACCCTTCTGAGGCTGTGGCCCACTGTGGTGATGAATGCTGCGGGCTTGGTTACACGACTGGCCTCTGCACGCACCTGCCGAAGCAACTGGGGACGCATCGGTGACAATGCTATGATCGGATTGAGATGGATGCATGTAGCGCTCCAACTGCTCAGCCCGGTCATCCGAGCTGCTGTCTGGCCCCCGGCACACGGCGGCCACGGGCTGGCGGTCCCACTCACGCATGCTCTCGCAGATGGTCTTGAAGTTCCGCAGCTGGCTCTGGTCCTTGACGCGCTGCTCCAGCAAGTCGTCGACCAGACTCAGGTAGTAGTGGCCTCCGTCAGGTGACTCCTCCAGCTGCACGGGGATGTCCGGTGCGAGCCTCACGAACACGGCCACCCCAGTCTCACAGTCCACGACGGCCCCGAGCTTCTTCAGCACCTTCTTGGACACCAGGATCGGGACATCCTTCGAGAAACCGTTGATGGCGATGTCGCCTTCCACGCCCGCGCCCGTGATGCCGAACTTCACCTGTCCGTAGGCGCGCTCCTTCTCGCCATTCCCGAAGCTGTAGACTGGCCTGTAGTTCCGGTTCACGTCCAGCAGCCTGGTGTCGCCATACTTCTCCAAGTTCTTGCGGGCCACGATGTCCAGGGCGCGCTCACCACCCATGGCGTCCGTGCACCCTAAGTCGACGATGCCCTTGCCCTCGAGAATGGCCTGGTCCGCAAACATCGCCTCGCACTCCGACTCCCGGGGCTCCTGCTCGGCGACCAGCGAGGCCACGAGGTTGAACTTCAGCTCCTTCCTGCACTCTGCCACCTTCGCGCTCGCGTCTGGCGGGCCCGCTGCTCCAGGCCGTAGACGTGGGTCATGACGGTCCGGGCAGTCCTGAGCCCAGTGGGGTCCTCCACACTTCGCGCACTTCTTCTGCCCCTTGTTTGGTGGCAAGATCTTGCCTTTGCCTCCTACCTGGGGAGGAAGTGGTCGGCGTGATCCCGCTGGGAACCCCTTGCCTGACCCCTTCGGCGCTGGCCGACCTCCCCTGTAGAAGCCTCTGCTCAGCCTGCTGTCTGCCTGAGCTTCACGAGCCTGGCGGAGGGTACGCTGGGCGGTGTGGATCGCCGCGAGCGCCTCCGCCTCCTCCTGCTGAGCCGCCAAGTAGCTCTCGATGTCGTCATCGTCCGCCTCCTCTGGGCCTGGTTCTTCCTCTTGCCACTCGCTGTTCTCCATGTCGGCTGCGAAGCTGCTTGCATCTGGTGCCTCATCTCCGTCAAGCCATGTGCGATCATCTTCTCCGAGCTGGGCCGTGTACGCCTTCGGGAACCGTGAGTGCCCATCACGCTCCGCCAGGTCCTCGTCCTCCCAGCTCGAGATCAGCTTCTCCCGGATGGTGTCGACCTCCAGCGAGCCGCCAGTTGCCGTCATGATGGCCGCCCGCTCGCGCGAGTCGAGCCCTGACCGTACGAGCATCAGCCAGCCCAGGACCAGGCTCGGGAATACTTCTGGCAAGTCCCCGAGCTCCTCCTCGGCGTCCGCATCCTGGTCAGCAGCGCTCCAGAGGTGTGAGTCTTCTTTCTCTTCGTCTGGCAGGCCGTCCGTGTACTCCCATGTCCATTCGCTACCCTCGAATGGCCAGCCACGTTCGACCTCAACCCAGCGGTATGGTCGCCATGTCCTCTTCCATGCTGGAGCGACCTGGACCGGGACTGTGTGTCCCAGCGCGCGTGCCAGCGCGCGTCTGAGGTACTGGTACCCTGTCTCGAAGCGGTCCGTCCACTGCTGCATGGGCTCGAGCTTGCGGCGCTTCGTCTTGATCAAGAACGTCTCGAGCTCCTGGCCTACGTCTGGCACGGCTTGTCGAGAGCATCTGCGCTCCAGCCACGCCATGAGTCTCTCCACGCCATCTGGTCTGGAGAGCCAGCCAGCCTTGCAGCGCTCGACCGCGATCTCGGCCCGGCCCGTGAGCTTCGCCTCTAGCCGCGGGCCGCACAGGTACCGGTCCTCTCTCTTGGTGCCCTCCTGGTACTGGAGGGCTTTCCGCCTGTATGTCCTCCAAGTCTTGGGATCCCCATCCCAGCTTGGAACCTTACCTCGATGATCCTCGGTCATCGTAGTTCCTCTCCGTGTCAACCACGTGCTCCGCTACCATGCGAGTCGTCGGGGGAAATTGCGCAGCGGTATGAATCTCTGATCTTTTGTCTGAACTCCTCAAGTTCGGGCCCTGCTCACAGGGCGTCTAAACTCCCGTGCCTCTGAGCACAAGCGAGGGGGCGCTAGAGCCGAGACGGTAGCAGGCAAAATACACATGTCAAACTACACATTCAATCACAAACTAAATCCAAGCAACAATATGGAATATGGAAACAAATATGAAACATCTGCTACCCTGCTGGGCTCACTCACTCATGCTCAGGCTTGCTCAAACTCGGAATTGCACCCTGGGGGCCTCCTGGGGGCCTCTTGGGGCGGAAGGGTTGAATCGTCGGTTCATGCTTCTCCTCTTGGATTCATTTTTGGGCCCTCATATTCGGGCCCTCTTGGGCCGTCTTGGAGCCCTCTTAGGAGCCTGGTGCGTTGTCCTGGGCCGGTCTTGGGGGCCTCCTGGGCCGTCTTGGAGTTTGGAAGCTCGACAGGGGGAGAGGTTAAAATACATAGAAACATCCACGGGAAATCAATGATGTTTGCGTCTTGGGGCCCTCTTGGGGGTCCTCTTGGAGCGCTCTTGGGGCCCCTTGGGGGCCTCTTTGTCCGGCCGTCTTTGCGGCCTTGGCGACGTTGCTGCCCCCCCCACTTCCCCCCTTCTCCGCCTGGCCGGAACCGCCCCCGCACCCTTCATCGTGCGGCGCGGGAGCGGCCCCAGAAATGGAAGACCCCCCCTTCCCCGTCCCCCCCAGCAGAGCTGAAGCTCAGGATATAGCCTGTTTGAACTCACATGTTGGATGGGGTGAATGAACGGCAGGCCCATCGGGTGCTCGTCTTTACACGGGGCTGGTGAGGAGGAAGGGTTACATGGGGCTTGAGTTAAGAGGGTATGGCTTGCGTTTATGAGAAGGTGGCTTGGGTTGAGAGGGTATGTTGCAGCATCTTTGACGCACCTTGGGTTTACTCTGGTCCTCCTCCTGCTACTCCCTCCGACTACCCCCTGCTCCTTCTCCTCCGCGCTCCTCATCTTCCTCCTCCAGCCCTCCGTCCCTCCCTCCCTCCCTCCCTCCTCTCCTCCTTCCTCCTCTCTCCTCCTTCTCCCCAGACCCCCGACGTCATGGTATTCCCGACATACAAAGTGGGGTTCTTGTTTTCTCTAGACGCCCCGCGCAGGAACAAGAGAAATCAACCTCTCCTCTTCTCTAATCGCACACTCATTCACTCAACCACTCACACATCATCACTCACACTCATTCAACCACTCATACACTCACTCACCCACTCACACACAAACACACTCACCACTCACCAACTCACTCACCCATTCGCACACTCACACACATCATCAACATCAACATCATCATCATCATCATCAACAACAACATCATCAACAACAACAACAACAACAACAATCACTTTACCCGAACGCTCAGTGTTCTCACCAGTGCCAGGGTTTTCATGCGACGCCAGCCAATACCCCCACTTTTGTGGGGGGGCAGTGCAAGCTCTACCAAATATCCACACGACTCTTCGCCACCACCCACACCCAGCTTCCCGCCCTATGACGTTCGGACACTTCACTTCGTGGCCTGCGGACGACCGTGGCTACTACACTGGCGTGGAGTACACACCCACAGAAGTTGTTAAGCCTACGTTCGTACACCCACAGAAGTTGTTAAGCCTTGTTAACCCACAGAAGTTGTTAAGCCTTCCACAGAACATCTGTTGCATATGATGCATATGGTACATGATACACATGATACACACTCACAAGATAGTTGATCACATCTTTAGGGCAAATTCCTGAGGGATGTGGGAATACACAAGAGAGAGAGGATATGGTTGTCCCGATGGTTGTCTCGATGGTTGTCCCGATGGTTGTCCTGATGGTTGTGGTTGTCCCGATCGTTGTCCCGATGATTGTCCCGATGGTTGTGCGCGCGCGAAGAAAAAACGAATGTGTCCCGCATGGTATTATTTGACAGGGATGATGGCCCTGGCAGGTGCGCAACCGTTGTCGCAGAAGTTCGAAAAAGTTGCTCGCAAAAGCCCGTTTGACAGAAATGTTTAAAAAGTGTTGGGTTTCCTACGAATCCGCAAGAGCGCGCGGGATGAGATTTTGACATTTTTTTGTTGAAAAACCATTGGTTTTTTGATGTTTTTATGTTAAAATCGCTCCGAACACTAAGCTTTTGGAAGGATTTCGTCTTGCGCGCGCGAATGTCCACTTTACCTTATTTTTTGCAAGGGATTCTTGAAATTTGATTATATTAGAACAAGAAATGTCATTTTATATGTTTTTTGCAAGGGAAAGCGGATTACAACAAAACAACCGGATCTTGATCACATCGTTTACCTGAGGCTTCCTCACGAAAATGATGAAAATGTAGCTGCGGCCTAGGCGGCGCAGGGGGGCCGTGCACCAGGGGTCCCAACAATAATTATTCTTTAGAATTAATAACGTTCAACAACAACAACAACAACAACAACAACAACATCATCATCATCATCATCATCATCAGCATCATCAGCATCATCATCATCATCATCATCATCATCATCACTCACTCACTCACTCACTCACTCACTCACTCACTCACTAACCCACTTACTCACCCACCTACCCTCCCACTCACTCACTCACTCACTCACTCACACTCTCATCATAATCATCATCATCATCATCATCATCATCAGCATCATCATCATCATCATCATCATCATAATCATCATCATCTTCATCATAATCATCATCATCATCATAATCACCATCATCAGCATCATCATCGTCATCATCATCATCATCAGCATCATCATCAGCAACATCATCATCATCATCATCATCATCATCATCATCATCATCATCATCATCTGCATCATCATCACCATCGTCATCATCATCATCATCATCATCATCATCTCCATCTTCATCATAATCACCATCGTCATTGTCATCATCATCATCATCACCACCACCATCCTCATCATCATCATCAGCATCACCATCAGCATTATCATCATCATCATCATCATCATCATCACCATCATCATCATCATCATCATCATCATCATCATCATCATCAGCATCTTCACTCATTCACTCACGCACTCATCTCAGGCGGGAGCCTCGTCTGTGAGTCAGTTGCGAGGAAGTCTCAGGCGGGAGCCCCCTTCCCAATGGGGCTCGCAGATCATGTTATTAATCCGAGCGGGTCATCGGAAACCTCTAATTGTCGTCATTTTTGGGTTCCCGAGGCTTGAATGTGGGAGAAGTATCCGGATGGAGCTTCGTCTGTGAGTGAATTGCGAAAGCGTCTCAAGCGGGAGCCTCCTCCCTATGGGACCCGCAGCTCATGTTACGGAAACTTGTAACTGTCGCCAGTTTGGGGCTCCAGGGGCTGAATTTGGAGGAAGTATGAGGCGGGCGCCTCGTCTGTGATTGAATTGCGAGGAATTCTCAGGCGAGAGCTCCCTCCCTATGGGGCTCGCAACTCCTGTTATGAATCCGAGCGGGTCGTCGGAAACCTGTAACTGTCGCCTTTTGGGCTCCAGGGGCTTGAATATGGAGGAGGTATCAGGCAGGAGCCTCGTCTATGAGTGAACTGCGAGGGCGTCTCAGGCGGGAGCCTCCTCCCTATGGGGCCCACAGCTCATTTCATTAATCCGAGCGGGTCATTGGGAACTTGTAACTGTCGCCACTTTTGGGTTCCTGAGGCTTGAGTATGGAGGAAGTATCCGGCGGGAGCCTCGTCTGTGAGTGAACTGCGAGGACGTCAGGCGGAAGCCCCCCCCCTCTGGGACCCCGCAGCTCATGTTATTAATCCGAGCGGGTCATCGGAAACCTCTAATTGTCGTCCCTTTTGGGTTCCTGAGGCTTGAGTATGGAGGAAGTATCCGGCGGGGGCCTCGTCTGTGAATGATTTGCGAGGACGTCTCAGGCAGGAGCCCTCCCCCTGGAGAATGCGCCCGTGCTGGCCAAGGAGGCGACGGCGGAGAGGAAAAACGACATGAGCGCTTGTGCCAGGTGGAAGGATATGCGCACGAGGAGAGCGGGTGGGGTGGCGATGAGGAGGGGGAGGAGTGGGAGGAGGAGGAGGAGGAGGAGGAGGAGGAGGAGACGGTGGAGGAGGAGGAGGTGGAGGAGAAAGAGGAAAAGGGCGAGGCGGATGAGGAACGCGAGGAGGATAGGGAGGCGGAGAAGGAGGATGAGGAAAAGGAGGAGGAAGAAGAAGAGGACCATACCTGCAACGAGTAGGACGAGAAGGAACAGGAGAAAGAGGATGAGGAGAAGGAGGAGGAGGAATAGAAGGGGGAGGGGAGGAGGAGGACGCAGGGGGCGGAAGGAAGGCTTCCGCCAGTTGCAGAAGAGAAGGGCGATGGGGTCCTACCTTCGGAGTGTGTGTGTATATATATATATACACGAACACACACACACACACTTTTGTTACACGCGTCGACCACCAAAGGTCTCGACCCATTGACTGGTACCGGTTTTCCATCCAGATTCGTTTTTGGACGGTCCCAAGGCCCGGTAAGGGCCCCCCAAAGGCCGAAAATAATGAACACCGTCCGTCGTGTTTCTTCCATATGGCCCCAGGGGGTCCAGGTCCTCCTCCCTCCTCCCTCCTCCTGCTGAAAGGTTCGCGTGGCCCGGGCCAGCAGAAGGCGCGGCCCGTGTGGAAGGAATGCCGCGAGGCGGCCGGCCTGTCCGTGCGCCCTGTGGCCTGCGGCGCGCTGCTGCTCTTCTCGCACGGAATGGGCGGCCAGCTCGATCCGGGATCAGCGCGCGGCGACTCTTCTCGCCCTCCCTCCTCCTCCTCCTCCTTTTCCTCCTCCTCCTCCTCCTCCTCCTTTTCCTCCTCCTCCTCCTCCTCCTCCTCCTCCTCCTTTTCCTCCTCC